AAGTAATGCAGAGTGGTCTGTTATCATTAAAGTTTAAAACAAGTGAATTTTGCCCTTGTCTTTTACAAGATCTTTCAGAAAGCAATAGTTTGTGTCACATCTACAGGTACATAACATCAACAGTTATAACCAAACCGTATTCAAGAGTTTAATAAAATAAGTGCCAGAAGTCCAAGTGCATAAGTGTGCTTTTAGTTTTTCACTGTTAATAGTGACAGATGTTACCGTTCAAAACACTCAATTTCAGATTGATCAAGGAAAAGATAACTTCCTGACACTAATGAGAAGGGTGATACTGAGTTCTAGTTTTCAGTAAAGAGGCCAGGTCTGGCTTGAGGGCAGTAGTTGAGATGCGTAAAATGTCACGTAAGTGGGAGTCACTTAGTCTTGACCTCAATCGGTTCTTGTTTAAGTTCATGACTGAGAATGTTTGCTCGCACAAATATGTGGAGCCGAATAAGCTTAGCATTTTCTTACCAAATAATCGCATTTCTGGAAACCTGCCTTTGTCCAGCTGCCAGTAAAAGTCAACAAGAGAAAACTGCTTGTGTTTTCTGCGGCACTCATCGTCACATTGCAGCTCAATGAGCTCAAGCTGCAGCTGTGGAAGAGCATCATCAGAGTCCACAGAGAAGGAAGAAGAGAAAAGCAACTTGTCCTTTTCAATAACTACAAAATCCCAAAAGCGTTCGTTAAATTCCACAGAAAGAGGTGCGAGAGCTGTTGCATAACTCTACATTTGCGCAACGATGTTGTCCTGTGGGAAACTGTCAATGACCTCTTTCAAAGCTGGGAAATGCGCGGTGCAGGGCTCTGTTTGGGACAAGTGTCTTTGGAAAAGCTGCAATTTTGTTCCAAAGGCCTCGATGTGAGCGTATAGCTTGCTCACCACTGCATCTTTCCCTTGAAGATTAACATTCAGTGCATTAAGATGCTTCGTTATGTCAACCAAAAAAGCCCAATTTGCCAGCCATACAGGATCAGACAGTTCTTCCATTGGTTGTCCCTTCTCACCCAAAAAATGTCAAATTTCCTCTTTGAGAGAGAAAATCGCTGCAGTGCGGACCCCCGACTTAGCCACCTCACATCGTTGTGATATATTACGTCTCCGTATTCAGCCTGGATGTCAAGCAAGAACTGCTGAAACTGTCGGTGGTCAAGAGCTTTAGAGCGAATAGAATTGATCGCCTTTGCCACTGGTTTCATAACATGGTCAAATTTGAGATGTTTGGCGCAGAGAGCCTGCTGGTGAATTACACAGTGAAGTTTAATAGCATTACCTCCTTCTTCACTGACTTTATTGCAGATCAGTGTGGACAATCCACTTCACTCACCAGCCATGGCGGGCGCACCATTGGTAGTGATCCCAGAAACTTTACTCCATCGTAGTTTCATGTCATCAACAGCTTCACAAACAGAAACGAATAAATCTGTTTCTCTGGTTTGGCCTTTAAGGCTTTGGTGGTCAAGCAGTTATCGTCAACTCCTCTTAAAAAAATCAGTAGTTGTGCAGTGTCAGATGCATCGGTGCTTTCATCGCAGGCTAATGAGAAATTATCAAAAGCCACTCCCCTGTCCCCCAGTTGTCTCTGAATATCTGAAGATATGTCCTCAATTCTCCGTGCCACAGTGTTACGTGCCAGGCAAACATTCATAAATTGTTGCTTCTTCTCGGGGGAAATGTTCTCCATCAATTTCATGACACAGTCTTTGATAAACGTACCTTCAGTAAAAGGTTTGCCATGTTTAGCTATTAACATGGCCACTTCGTAGCTTGCTTTGGTGATATTTTCCTTTGACCCACAGGCCCGCGTGAAGAATCGCTGTTGTGATGCCAGAGCAGCTTGGAGTTGCTTCACTCTTTCAGCACGGTCACTCCCTGTTAGCTTGTTGTATGTGGTAGCATGTTTAGTCTCATAGTGTCTCTTTATGTTGAAATCCATAAACAAGGCAACAGTCTCTTTACAAATTAGACAAACACAATTGCCTCGATTTTCAGTGAAGAAATATTGTAATTCCAACTGCTCCTGAAAGCGGCGGCCTTCACTGTCAACTTTCCTCTTTTTCTTTGCAGTCGCCATGGCAGAAATGAGTGGAGAAGGGTTCGCGGCACGGATGCAGATCCAGATAGTATTAAAATGATGCTGCCACAGTGTGGTGAAAGGAGGAATTACATTTTTAAAGTTTTATGATTTATTTATTCTGACAGAGCTAGCGAGCCATAAATAACACAGTATAAAACCAAAGCTGCGGACTTTGGACATGCCTGCTCTAAATGTTATAATAAAGGCTTATGGTACGGGCCCACAGGTGTGTTTTTGGACACAAGGGGTCGTGCCGCTTCCTAGCATTGGTGTAGTCACAAACGGCTACACCCTCCTACAAGCACACAAACACTTCTGGCTGCACCTGATTGGACAAACACTTGTGCTCTGAGATTTTAAACTTGAATAACATGGAGGTTCATGTGCAACCTTTGAGTCATATAAAATAGTTCACCAAAATCTGTTTCAGTTCAAGCGACAATTAGCCATGCAGTTGCTGAATCTGCAACTGCATGTAATACATTCCAGTGGCAAAGCAGTATGTTTTTGAGAGACAACAACACAGTTGCAATACTTTTTAGTGGCATATGACCAGGGTTTGGCACGGACAGCAGAGAACTACAGAATAGGACATGGATATTTAATGTTGATACGAGGACACTACATGTAAACACTTGATATTTTTACTCATGTCTCCTGGTCCATCACTGCTCCTTTACCCTTCAGCTACTTGACATTATCTATACATTAGCTCAACACTGAGTAGAAGGAAGCAGAATAAAGCTTAGCAGTCTGAGAACAACTTTTCCTTTTCCTTCCTTTTACTTTTGAGGGGAAATGTCTATACCATTGTAGCGTGATACTTCAGGATGACAACTGCAGATGGGGAAAGGTGTAAGCCTCTTACAACTCCTGTATTAAGATATCATTATAGAATATTGGGACATTTCAAATGTCAGATTGTAAACGCAGCTGCCTTTTCCACTGATGGAACTGCACTGTATGATGTAGACAGCTGGATTTGCCTAAGCAGAGCATATTTTACTAGATCTGTTGAGGATGCTACCTCATCATCTTGGCTGTTGAAGCAGAGAAGAGATAATCCTGTTCCCTCCCCACAATTGCCTCTGTTGTGCCTTTTTTTTCCCTTTACCCTTGCCTTACCCTTACTTATTGTCACGGTTTTTAAACGTCAGTTACAAAAGAAATGTGTTGACCACAACCTCCCCAAAGTCTTGAACCAGTTCAGGGTGGTATGGCCGTTATAGCTGTGTAATTTGTTATTTTCATCCTCAAACAGCATTAAATATGGTCAAACATCGAAGATGGAAAACAACTGTTTCCCACTCCCACAGCTGAAGGAAACACATCCAGATTCACTTGACACTTGGACGAGAGCACTCAGTAGCTCATAATAGGTTTCCACTACACTACCACTTTCTGCTACATCACCTATGTACCAAAGAGTATATATAAATAATTGTTTCGCAAATGGGTCTGTCAACTGTGATACATGCACTCCTCCTCCTGTTATGCAGTCACAAACAGCCTGTAATCAAGCAGCCAGCCTGGGAGCAGAAGCCATCCGCAGTAAATCCCACTCTGAGTCCCAACACAAAGCTACACTAAATATAGAGCCTCTGACATGATTATGACACTGCAGGGACCAAAGTTTCCATGTTCCAGCTCATCATTTCAGTTCATGAGAGCCCATTACATGTGGAATCACATTATTAGCTGCAATGTGGACTCAAAATGTATCTGTAGAAGTTAAACAAAACTGGACTACAGAATATGGCTGAGGGTAATAGGAGAGCATCAGACTTTATGTGTTTACGTTGAAGTGACAAAGACCTATCGTGACTTTTGTCCATCGGGAGAAAACGAGGAAATCGGCTGACGTTATTACAGAGCCACAAAGTTCAGACGGAGGACCGATGGGTCACCAAAACGTGGAACTTCAACCTCGGAAACCACTGTTGTTTTCCCATTTCCAACCGACAGTCAACACTGGTTTCTTTCAACCATAACCACAATCATTCCAAACTTCACCACATTATCTGTTATTGTAACCATGACGACAAAGGTCCCAAACTAAAACCTAAATTCTGCTAGCTCTCTCCTCGTAGCAGATAAAAAATAAAATAAAGCAGAGAGAATCAAATAGAGGGCATGGCCATGTAGGTATGGACTGTGTGACGCGAGAGGTAACACACACCCGAGTGACAGCTGCCGCTACTCAGAGCTAACAGAGCTAACCAGCCATGAGCAGCTGCGGTCAGACTCTCCCTGTCTGTGATGCAAACACAGAGTCACGAGAAGCACATTTACAGTCGTTTGTAAAAGTTTCTGTTGGGTGCCTGTGTTGTAACGTTAGCTAAGCTAGCAGTTCAGAGAGGCTAACTCTCCGATGTCTGCGGCACAGAGTCAGGCTACCGCTAGGTAGCAGGCCACAGTCTGCAGGGTGGAGACATTTGTTTTATAGCAGTAGGGGTTGGTTGATGACGAAAGCTGTCACCATACATCACCTGCCTCTAGATCAGCTAACTGCAAAATTCAATAGCAATAGCCGGGTTTTACCAGTAGAGGGCAGTCATTATGCATATCTGTAGAATACTTTGCAGATTTGGACCTGAATCAATCAACAGCAATAAATACCCATATACAGAGGTTGCAAAGGTGCTTTTGGGGTTTAGTTACTCTTTAATTAAGTAGTTATTTTAACCATAGACACAGTAAAACTACGGTTGCAGGTTTACCAAAAAATATCTAATGTAGTGTGTTCAACAGAGGCTTCTGGTCTATACAAAAAAACAGGTGTATTTTTATATCCTGACTAATACCATGACTAGAATGACTAGTTTTTCACTCTAATGAGAAAAAATGGTGCATCATATCAGGGGTGGATGACACTGGATGGACACCTTCTGATCTATATACAATACAGTCCCTTACCTGACACACTCCACTGATGCACATGTCAAATGCATCCGCCCGGCACCGCGTCCCGTCCAGCACCTTGGGGGCAAGCTCAACAGTGAGACCTCTCCCTTTGGCCTGACACCGCAGTGCACAGGGTGCCGACGGGTCATAAGGTGCTGGGACCCACTCATAGGTGACACCCTGGTACTTGATGTCATTGTGCGCTGAACACTGCTGGGCCCGGAAATCCCCTGACTCTGCTGGACAGTCCTGAGGAGAGGAACGACAAAAAACTGTCTCAGGTTAATAATAGAGGCTTGTTCTTCCAGATGACAACTGGCAGACTTTTGGCAGCCAATAGCAACTCTTCTTTTCCCTGACTGAGAACTAGTCTGACACATCAGCTTCACTCAGTCACACTCTGCCAGTCAACAAATCCTCCAGACGTCTATATGGAGCACAGTAAACAGAGCCTTCAGTTCAGTCAGAGTTAGCCTCCATGTGTGAACACGGGAGCTGGGATAAATATTATCCTGGGAACATTTCCCACTGGATGTTACTAAAGCTCTGCAATGAATCCAGACTAAACCACTTCAGTGGGGAATAAGATAAATAAGACTAGTCTTCCTCTGATTAAGAAGGTTGTTTCAACAGGCTGGATGTGTTTCTGCGGTTTGGGAAAGTGCAGTACTGCAGAGCTACCATCATGTGGGTGGTTGTGGTTGTTGGTATCCCATGGATCAAATGACGATGTTGATATTACAGGATGGACTGGTGGAGGAATTATTCACTTATAACATTAAACAGACTTAATTTGAGCGAAATAATTCACATGTCCTTTATTTTCCTCCCTCACACACATACAGTGCATCACATATTTGAATTGAAACCCAATAGTCAGAGCGCTGAGATCATGTTTGATGCCTGCGTAGTCCTCAGTTCCATATTCTTACCTACCAGTTACCAAATTGACAGGAAATATTAGCTAAGAGATACGGTTCTAGTACATAATAGTGTCCCCAGACCAAACTTCTTCAGAGCTACCTGATAAGGTTCTCATCCTTAACAGCAAGCTGGGAGAAAAACTGAGCATTTAGGGGAACTGTGAGCACTGAGACATAATTATTGCATGACCCATGAATAGGGTTGGGGTAGGACCGCATTTCTTTGATTTTATCTAATCAAATACTCATCAAATCTCTTGTGGTTCAACAATTCAAAAAACCAAAGTTCAGCTGGGATTTTTATGTATGTAAAAAAAATTTAACAATGAACACATTCACTGCTAACACTTGATCACACATTGATTATCTAACACTACAATTTTTTTACTATAACAATGTATAAAATAATAGTACGTAGAGAACTTAAAAGTAGAAAAAATAATACCCCATTTATTCTGGATAGTCCTCAGAATCAGTTTTCAAAGAGACGATTTCTTCAATAGAAACTGATCAAGGTCAGCTAAAATGTTTATTTTCTTAATTTGGGTGAACCCAGGCTGGCCCACAGTGGAGGTGGCTGGTCTAACTGGAATCTTCAGGTGTGAATGTGTGTATCTCTGCTTACATAATAAGGGTGGGGGCAAAACTATCCATATATTTAAACCCCATCTTATCCAAACTGATTGAAATACTTTATTATGTGGTATTTTGTCTTTCCATCTGATTGACGAAGAATCTGAATGTGAGAAAACACTATTATAGTAAGAATGAAAATAATGTCTTAAGAGACCTTTTTATTAGACTAGCAACTTTTTCCCAGAGCTGTTGACATTAACTGTATGACATATAATATATAATGCACATTATAGGAATATAGATTTACTTTACGGTGTCAGGTCTTAATTTGTTCATAATGCAAGATTTTTCATCTTCCTGTGCATAAAACATTCTGTGGTCAGTTTTTATTAAATATGGTGGCGTTATCTTGTGGAATGAAAATATACATCTAATAGTTGGATTCACTTTGAGAACAACAAAACCTAGACAAAGGCATCAAGGATAATGTGAAGTTACAGAGGATAATGTTACAGCTTTCAGGGAGTAGATAACCTAATGCTATGTTAGCTAACTAGCTAAACATCGCCTGCCACTCAGATTTGAACCTGATGAAGGATTTTAGTCATCGGACGTCTGGATCTTAAGTTATCAGAGAAACAAGCTGAGCTAACGTTAGCAGCAGCTCGACTCGCAGCCCCTCCGGGACGTCCTTTGTCTGTCCAACAACGTGGGAGAAGCAGTGATTGTTAAGGTGGAACTGCTTTATTCAGTGTGTTTAAGGTGGAACTGCTTTATTCAGTGAGTTTAAGGTGGAACTGTTTTATTCAGTGTGTTTAGTGGTTTTAATCAGCGGGTCTGTTTGTGTTGGAGAGGAGGAGACCTCTGTGGATCATTGGGCTCCCAGTAGAAACCTCCTGAACCATGAACACTGAAGGAATCCTAACCGGGAGAAGCTGACTGCAATGACAACAATTCCCATGATGCCACGCTACTTCAACACGTAATCAAACTTCGTCTTTTGTTATTGTTTTGATATGATATGAGAGAGCTGCTTGTGGCAGAAATGACCTATTGTACATTTCAGTACATAGTGTACTTCAAACTTGTATGTTACTCATGTCACATAGGTATTCTTTTCTAAAAAGCATCACTGACCAGAATGTGAGGCTGGAATATACCCTTGCAGAGTTGTCTTCTGCAGCTTACAAAAAGCAATGACAAGTCCTCCAAATTAAACAGCAAAATACACAGTTTGTGCCCTTTAGACCAACAGTGTTTTCTGATCAGTTAAGTCCACATGAAACAGAAATCAGAGAGCTGTTTGCTTTCTTCCATATTTTTTTGTAAAAACAGGCAGCTGTGGAGGGACTTGTCATGGTAAGTATACATTTTTTTAGGTTTTCAGAAATGGGAAACGGACAGCAGTCTCCCATGTTAACCCATCCACTCCCGACCTCCTCCCTACACAGGCTTGTAACTCTTAACAACAACTAACCTCCTGTTTTGCTCCCAACAGAATAATTCCTATCATCTAAAATGAATGTAGCAGCTAATATTAACAATGAGTAGTGAAGATCAGACTTACCATGGTGCTGCAGGCTCTGTAGCGGATGTTTTTGCCTTCACAGCTTCTGCAAAGCAGCGTAAAAGAGAACTCTCAGCACTATTGCAAACCAACAGGTGACTCTGTGACACTCAAGCTGTGAGAAAACACAAAAGTAAATGTAACAAAGCTTTAAACATAGTTAATGCCACTGATGAAGCACTTCTTTCTTGTATTTCTATGAATAGATGAGTCCTCTCGAGCTGTAGTAGTGTTTTTAGAAATTCCTACGAAATCATTCCACAGTTAAAGAGAATTTGTTAAACCACCAAAAAAGACAACAGTTTTGCAATTCTCGATAATTATGAGCTCACAGTGGACATTATACACTTTATAACTCTTGACAGTGAGGTGTGTTTACATTGTAAACTGTGTTTTTTATGTAATTTTCAATTAATTTCTTTGTACTGGGGTAGTGGCAGATTCTCCGGCAGTAGAGATCCCCAAAAATGCTTGCATGGCTAGAGGTGTGTTCACAACCAAATGCGGATAAACAAGTAAGTCGATTACAATAAAAAGTCAATGCAAAGACACAAACTGGGTGACGTGAATGGGACGGAAATGCGAAATTTGCTTCCTCTGCTTCTTCCACATGTGCTAAAAAGTTTTTGACCCATTGTCACAAAAGCCTATAAGCGCCATGACATCCGGAAATTGTATCAAAATAAATGGAGGAGAGGATTTATTGTAGCCGTCTGTGAACACCAAGAGCTCTATACTACATATTTATACCATCTATTCAAGTGTCCCTGTAAACCATGACATCTGTTGCCTGTTAGTCTCTGCGTTTATTTTATTTTACCTATTTTTGAAGCTCTTCATGGTCTTGCACTATATCTGGTCTATACAGTATACCTCTATATGTCACACATGTTCACAGTGTATGAACCAGTGTGGCCCCTCAGATCCTCTGGCACCAGCCTCTTAGTTGTTCTAAAGTGCAGGACTAAACCTTTGGCAATGCAGACCTCTTCAGCCTGGATTTGAACTAGGAATGGCTTTTTACCACAACCATTATTTGATCTTTCCATTTATTGTTAATTTATCACAACAATTTCCTTTTTCTTTACTAAAATATTTTCTTTTTTATCTCTCTTATTTGTTTGTTATTTTTGTCTGTCTTCTTAATCTATTTTATCGAGTTTTGAGTATACACTGTAAAACCTGATATCTTAAATCTTGATAAAAGAAGCAAGTTAACATAATTTAATGCTCCAAAATACTGGAGTCACTCATTCACTTGAATTAAACAAAAATCAAAAATGAATTGTTGAAGCAACTCACTTGTTTAATAGTGCATTGAAATGTGTGCAATATTTTAAGTACAGGTGATTTATTTCCAGTTTATTCCACTGACTCATTTTCTTGAACTTAATTTTGTCAGTATACGTCTAAATAACTCAAAAATTAATGGGCTACTCTGATAACCAATATATGATAAATTGTTTTTATCCGTTAGCTGTTCTGACAGACAATGTAATATTTTTCTTTAGTGGTAAATTCAACCTGGTGGTAATAAAGAAGATGTATTTAAGTTACTTTACTCAGATACATTCTGTTCAGGCATTATAAATAAGTTTAAGAATTCTGCAAATGAGTATAACTTCAATTAACTGAATGGAATTGGTACAATTAACTTAATTTATCCAAGTTACCCTAACAATAAATACTTGAGTTACTTCTACTCAAATGAAATATATTTCATGCTTAAATTGTTTGAGTGAATAGACAAACAGTTTAAGGCAATCAGTTTCCCCAAACAAGTTCAGTTGAACTAACTCATTGGGTTTTACAGTGTAGCTTTTATTAAACACTATTGTTATACCTGTATTATCTATTTTATTGTCATTTTTCATCTTTGTATTTTATTTTTAATACATTTATACAGCAACCAGACAAAAAAGTAAGTAAGAGAGGAAGTTGGACTATCTGGTAAGTTCTGAAAATATGTGTCTGTTCCTTGATTCCACCTTATTATGAACTAAGTCAGAAGTTAGAGTGAGTGGAACGTTTTTTGCTGAGATTCGGGTGGACTGAAACTTTAAATCAATTCTAAATTTCCCCCTTTGTTAAATGTCACAAAACTATCTGAAACTGAATGATGATAAATTAGAACAAATTTCAGCTCTCTTAGAGCAAATCTCGGTGGTCTTCAAGATAATGTTAAGTAGGTGTAATAATTGATGTAAACCTCAAGTCGAAAATGTTGTTCAGTCATATGTTTTATCCAGTTTAAGACTATTAGATTAGATATAAAATTAGGTCATTTGTATCCTCTGGTAATCTGCAAAAAGTAGTAAATGCTTTTATTTTTTCTAGGCTTGATTACTGTAATGCACTTTAATCGGGTATCACCAGGGCGCCCGCCACAGTCTCCAGCTGGTACAGTAAGCTGCTGCTCGACTTGTTATTGGGATAAGGAAATAGGAACGCACCACCCCAATGCTGGCCTCCCTACATTGGCACCCTGTCAACATTCGCATTGATTTCAAAATGTTATTACTAACTTTTAAAGCCTTAAACGGACTTGCTCCCACATACATTTCTGATTTATTATCCTTGTATGTGCCCCCACGACCCTTGAGGTCCACGGGTACACCCTGCTGGTTATCCCCAGGTAAAGCTGTGCGACAAAAGGCTTTTTCCATTAGAGCCTCCCACTATGGAACTCACTGCCTCATTGAACTCTACATCACTGGGTTTTTTTTAAAATCTCTTCTTAAAACTCTTCTCTTGGTGCAAGCTTTTGGGAATGTCTGATATAACATAATTTGTAATGTTTTTATTCTTATTTATTTGTTCTTATTCATTCCATTGTTTTGCTCATGTTCCCTATTGTCATTTTATCTGCCTTGCTATGATTTTTCTTTCTTTCTTTTGTACCACATTTTGTAACATTGTTAAGAAAAGTGCAATATAAATAAAGTTGTAATTATATTATTATTATTATTACTATAAATTGATTGTCTGAAAACTGTGAATGTGAATTAATGCTCCAATTATGATAAATTCACAAACCCTTTTGTAAGGCTGTACATTTTTAACTACCCCTCGTGCAGTATTGTGCTGTTTGTCCATCTTTTAGGCCTCTTTTTAATATTTATCCTACTTTTCACCTTGATCTTTGTTGAGCTTACCTCAGTTTACTCTGGAGAGACCAGCAGGTAAATTCCAAAAACGAAAAGTAAACGTGATGTACACTCACAAACACATGCTCACACAGTAAAATACCCATGCATAATCACACACACACCTGTGAGGAGACAGCACACTCCACCTGAAGCACACATCACCCAGCCAGCAGCCATCTCAGCAATAACCGAGCTCCAGCTGGCAGAGCCCAAAATGTCAAGCAAAAAACCTACAGATATGTGCACACACACACACACACACACACACACACACACACACACACACACACACACACACACACACAGCTTCAGAATGAACCTGAGCCCTGTGTGAAATGTGCCATAGCAGAACGTTCCTTTCCCCATGACAGCATGGACACGCTGTTAAATCCGTTCCACCTTGTTAGCAACAATAACAACATCCAATCTCTTGGTGTGTGTTAACTGCCATAAAGTGCACATTTCTCCTGCTGGCTTACAATAACATTAGACTAAACTGGTAGCAGCTCATTTATCCCAGTGTAAAGCGGGCCTGGTCTAATCTGCCAGTTAGGACAGATAGAGAGCTGAGAACCACACTGCAGCCATTCACAGACAACAGCGAGCTCCATATTAACGAACCAATTAATAGATTCCTCCAACTGAAATGCATGAACCACTCAAGCATGGTTGGACAAACTGTTTATGTGTGTGTACTGTAGGTGGGTGTACTGTGTTTTTAGGGTCTGGGAATGTCTACAGCTATGGCCATTAGTCTTCTACTAAAATCAAAACACTGACACACACATATCTCACTGAGGAATACAACACTTGTTTTGTTTGTCTCTATTAAAAAACGCAGACATACAATAATGTATGTATATGCCCTTTTCATCCCCACCTCCCTTGTCAGATGAGCTCACTGGACACCACACATCATGTTCCTACGGTGGCCGAGAGGTATCAGCAAACAACGGATGTTGATATTGAAACAGGGCGGACTGTTATTAGCAGCGGACTTATTGCCTCCTGATGCATGGAAGAGAAAAGTTCTTGCCTGTTTGAGAAGTAATTGAAACATTGTTAACTAGCAAACTATGATTACTGTTGCAATGTGATTGTGCCAAACAATGTTATTCAATGTCCTTATATTTTCACAATAATGTACTGTTCCATCTAACGTTAGCTCTGCTGTAGCATTACATCTTTTAGCTAATGTCCTCAAAGTGGGTTTAGCTGATGGTGACTTAATGCTGTGTAATATTTGAATGTAAGGGAAAAGGCGCAGTTCAAAGAACAGCACATAAAAGAAACTTTACATAGTCCTGAGTAACAAACAAGTTTTCTCAGCTGTGTTTTACAGTGTTAAAGTAAGCCTAACCACTCAGCCCCATGACAAGCACGTTAAAAATCAATACTGCACTAGAGTTTGTACAATAAATAACGAGAGGTTTATTTATATTGCATATGTTTAGTGTGCATTATTTTCTTATTTAGGGAGATTTACTGGCCTCTAGCAGCAAAGTTTCACCACTGGTGTGTGTATTTGATGCCTGGGAATGAGAACGGGCTGTGAAGCATGTAGGAGAACTACGGTGGCTGGAAAGTGTTTGGATTGTCCGTTCTGGGCTACTGTAGACACAACTTGAGCTTCTTAAGAGCTTTCAAGGAAAAATTGGTGATTACATTTGAAGTCAACATGAATGAAAATCCTATAAGTGCTAGTGATGAAATCACAACAGTGATTGAGTTCACTTGTCAGATCCATTTCTACTGATAATGGTTTAAAAAAACATTTGCTTATAGCTGCAGAAGGTTTAACTTATAAAAATAACTTTTTGTCATATCTGCTGAAACTTTCACTATATCCTGAGAGTAGTACATGTGACAGATAATCTGTAAAATAATCAGGTTCCTCTGGCTCCTCCTAGTGCTGCTAATGGAATTAACAAGAATCCACCGGGCCTGAACAAAAACAACCAATGAGAGCCGAGGAAGATATAAAGATGCTTTGGGTCGGAAGCTTGAAGATAGTTCAATTCAATTCAATTCAATTTTATTTGTATAGCGCCAATTCATAGTTGATTGCTGAGTTTCATTCCCAGAGTTCCAAAGCATCTGTATTTGACGTCCTGGGAATGAGACTCAACAATGAACTCACGTTCTTGGCTCTGATTGGTTGTTTTCATTCCAGCCCTTTAGGATTCAACATGGTGTTCAACAGTGTACCTGTAAAATTGACATTCTAAACAGCAGTGGTCCATTGTTTCAGCCACAGACAGATACTTCCTTTGCTTGTTGAGTGCTGCTGTATAAGGACAGACAGCTAGTGGGAGTTAATGGACCTTTAAAGGGGAGAAAGACACGGTCTGGCACCAGAGGAGGCAGGGCAGTGGGCAAAAACAAGCTCCACTCCAAAAGAAACACTGGGCCCAGACAGAAAACCAGTTTGTGTGTGTGAGTGTGTGTTAAAGCTGAATAAAGCTGCAGATTAAGCTGGGTGTTCTCACTCCAGTCAGACGCTTCTGTCCTCCATAGCCCTCAGACGGACACACACAAATGCAGTATATACTGTATGTACTGCATACACACTCACCCTACTCCAGATAAATCCTCAGTTTCTAGCTCTTACAAGGCAGAAAGACATACACAGACACATGGATAACCCTACACACACACTCACTTGTCCAGGCCCCACTAATTATGTCAAGAAGTCAAACAGACTTTTTTACCCATGTAGTAAGTAGCATGTGCGCACACACACAGACACACACACACACACACACACACATTTCTGTAATGACTGTAGTGTGAATCTTCCAATGCGGGGGAAGTCTGAACAAATCAGGAGCCCCAATCACTTCCAGACGCTGGGAGATGTGATCAGAGTTTACAGTGATCACCCAACCAGTCCTCAGATGTCTGAGGACACGGAACCTCATTAGACTTCAAACAGTCCAGCACATGTCGCACTGATAAAACTCAGCTTTGACATACTATCATAGTGGACTTGCAGGGGGCCTTAACATAACAATATATTAATATATGCTAATTATAGGACAGGAAATGAATGTAGATGTCACTTTGTAAGAGCTCTTATTCAAATGGCTTCATCATGGTATGATCAGATGTTTAGAGTTACCTTCATGTGTCAGAATATCTGCTACGGAAGCCTTGAGTGGCTGCAATAATTTTTTTAAACCCTCACTGATCACAGCTTAATTATTCTATCATCCCGGAATAATAAAGTTGTTTTCTCATGATAATGAGAGAGGTATTAAGCGAAAGGTCATTTTCACAAAATAATGATGCTACTGCAAAAGAAAAAAATGGTTTTGAAAACTGGTTAGTGTAGGTGGTAATTGCTGCCTCGTAGGGTTGTAAACAAGTTCAAATACATTATCCGGATATGAACACATAATGTGCTGTGAAAAGGCACAAACAGCACCTGAGCAGGAATTTAAACTGCAAAACACTATAGTTTTTTGGACCATCTGTCCTTACTCTTCCGATGAAGCTTGACTGATGCGCATGTGTATTTGTATCCCATTACCATGACTGTTGGTTATTTCACATGAAGAAATTCTGTATTTGTGTTTTCGACTGAGATCTTCTCACTGGTTTTAAGTGGCAGGACTCAACAAAGGTGGTTTTCTGTGCTAATCAGGAATGAATGTGATGACGAAAGTGGGGTTGAAACTGTTCATCAAATCTGACACACAGACTTGGAGACTTGAAGAGTCTTGGTGTGTTAAACTATAAATAAATAATAGCCTACCTTACCATGTTTTTTTTTTTTTTTTAACTGTATTGTCATTTATTATTAAATAACATCAATATTTAAAGGGGCTTTAATTTTTTCATAATTAATTTTTCATAGGTGCAGTTTACTCGTCACAATTTTCTGAACTTCTGAAAACAGTTAATTTCTTCCAGAGTTTCTCTTCATGCTTCTGGTGGGACTTTTCCAAAGTTAAACAATGTTGTAACATTTCCACATTAAAATATCTAGAAACGCTAGAGCTATGTTCTATATGTAGTTGAGTTGTGTTATTATATTATCCCAAATGTTTCCAACCATGTTCAAACTCAGAGAAATCTGTCATTTTATTCAGGTAAAGCTATCTTCTTTGTGCATGCAAAGGTGATATGACGGGGCTCCTGGTAGAAATCTCCTGAACCATGAAGATTCAAGATTCAAGCTTTATTTATCCCGAGGGAAATTACTGTGCAACAGTTTCAATACAAAGGTGGTAAAGTAAAGGCAACTGTTGCTGGCTGCCGCTCGACACAGCGCCGGAACCGGATATCCTGAACACTGAAGGAATCCTAACTGGGAAAAGCTGATTGCAATCATGGCAATGGTGGTGAAGACAACAACTCCCATGATCCCATGCTACTTCACAACATTATCAAACTTCGTCTTTGTGTGATCTTTAAGTGGAACACACCTGTGACCTGGTTATACTGGAATAAGTATCTATGATGGAAAATGAGGGATGAGCAGAGGCCATATTACAGAAACAGATCCTATCTTTTTCTTGCAAATGCCATTAGTAACACTAGGAGGAGCCATAGGAACCTAATTTTGTCATGTACTACAGTGAGAATATAGTGTAAATATGCAAATATATATATAAAAAAATTACCTACTGCAGCTTTAACTGTTTGGTAACCATGGCAATTAGAGTTAAGACCTGATTTAGGAAAATTCCATTACAGGTGAAGCAATAAGATATGATATATGATAAGCATCTAACTTCCCAAAATCTTAAATAAACTCTCCTAAACTTTCACATTACCACCAGGTAGTGTTTTATAATTTGTTTAATCCATGTGGCTCTTTTATTGCTTTTTAAAATATGTTTTGGGACTTTTTGCCTTTATTCGACAGGACAGCTTGAGATAGACAGGAAAGGGGAAGAAAGAGGGACTTGAACCCATGGTCCAGCCGCTGCAGCAAGGACTCAACCCACTTTTATTGCTTTTAAACAATCAATGATATGTAAACAGGTGGAACTATTTCAGCATGTTTCAGTGAGAAAAAACAACAATTACAAAGTTGTTTTGCTCAGTAAGATGTGAGAAGTAGTGCTGGTTGATAGCTAACAGACATAAAAGTTGAGAAGTGATGTTGGATTGAGTATTTCGGATTTCCTAACCTGTGAATAGATAGGATGAAGTAAGATAAAATAGGATTAGCCTCTGTAAAACCAAATTGGGAAACATCCTATCTTAGATTCTTCCTATCTTAACTTCAGACTTAAATTAGGAAGTTTCTGTAATACGGCCCCTGGATTAGAATATTAAGGGCATGGCTGACATGCTCTTCCATAAACATCTGTCTCTCAGCACTGGTAACTACACACCATAGGAGAAAACCTTTCCTTCAGGACACATTCAGTGGAGCAAACGGTCCAAATATGACAAAACAAAACCATAAAACCACCTCCAGAAAAACCCCAAGGGCCAGTTTGCAGGGTGTATTTACTCTTCTTTTATCTCTCTTTCAGTTCTACTCACTTCAACTTATGACCACAAGGTGCCAACTAAGAAGCTTTAGCACTGCTGTGTGCATTTACTGTTTGTATGTATATGTATGCACTAGAAAAGTTCTTACTTAGGACTTTGATGCCCTAAGTGGGAGAAATTTCAGGAGTAGCATGGGTGAGAAAGTGAGGCTGAGCCGCCGTCAGATATAATGGAGACAAATGTGTTGCCACAAGGCTGTAGAATGATGCCACTGGGCACAGTCTGAAATAGATTGGCTGTGATGACTTCCTGAACAAGCAACGCTGCACAACGAACAGCTGAGCGGAGACAGGCTGACTGTGAGAGCAGACAGCCTGACTATAGCTTTTAAAAACAGCAAAGATTTGAAACCCACACACTTTATCAGTGTGAGGAAGATACGGAACAAACCCGACCCAGACACCGTCTCCTTGACTTCCCAGCATCCCATCTACACCGGCCCATAGAGATGGTCTGGATTCTGTCAGAGTTTCAAGCCCCTTCTTTATTTCTCTCTCTCTCTCTCTCTCTCTCTCTCTCTCTCTCTCTCTCTCTCTCTCTCTCTCCTCCATCTAGAGTGAAGCTATGGTGGGGTAACCCATTGTTTTGACTAATGTTCTTATATTAAAGTATATTATATATACTTTATATATATATATATATATATATATATATATATATATATATATATATATATATATATATTTAGCTATACTCAATAAACTTTGGGCTATTTCTAAATGCACACAACATGTTAACTTGTTTGGGATCAATTAACTACATAGAAGATAATCATGGTCACCAAGACCTCTGTCTGCCACCTCCAAAGACTCAATATGACATGCCATCAAAGGCTGAGTCTACCGGTAAAGTGATTGAGATAGAAACATCTGCTCAACAGGTATCTTAACAATTCAACAGGATATCCCTCCCTTGAATATTTTGCGGTATAAAAAGTGTAATGTGTAAGTTGAGCAGATTTTCTTTTGCAGAAAGTTGACAGCTTTAGTCATTAAACAGTCTTATCAACAGTCTTATCAAGTCTCAGCAACAAGGAGCAGCTCTGTACAGGGATCATATACTGGATACTGGATTCTTTCCTCTTTAATGATCAGATTTCTGTCACAAGGTATTTTCATATTCCAAAGGTGCTGCCAAAGTGTGTCTTGTTAGATGTTAAATGAGGCTCACCCTCCATTGAGGCAGCGTCGTAGAGAGTAGGAGGCTCCTCCCCCACAGGTTCGAGAGCAGTCACTCCAGGGGCCCCAGGCGTCCCACCCGGCGTCCCTGTCTTCATCTGAACGAGTCATCCTGGATGCCTGCAGAAGGACAAACCAGCACACATGCTTATTTACAAGCTTTCACCCAAAGCATGTGGTGATCAGTGAATATCACTCGAACATGTGTCATGTTTCTCAGGAGAATTACAGTACTGAAGAATGCAGCTTCCTTAAAAGTGAAAATACAAACAAACCCAAAGTGAAAGAGTCTATGGTTGTAAGAACACACCCTGGGCATCTATTTTTCATTTGTTCAAAGGACCTGTGTCAAGGCTTGCACAGCTACCAAGTAACCCTGCCTCCTAAAAATTCCATTTATACTATTACTACTACCTCTAGTGCTACCAGCTGGTTGACATGCGGTCATGACAATAAGGGAGGACTTTTGAGCTTTGGTGGTGCCTTGTATCTAGCATCACCATGAGATCAAATTTTAGCTTTGTCCAATACTGTGGTTTATGACTAACATGTTGGGCACACATTACTTCTGTTTTATACTGAACTCTAGATATGAAAGGCATGAGAATATGAATTGATTTGGCTGCCCTCACTGCAAAAATCTCCAAGCTGTAAATAACTCTCTAATTTCATTCAATATGTTTTTACTCAAGTGTATGCCTGGCTCAGGTTAAACCCTTTGTCAGTCAAAGTAGGGCGGTTAATATACCTATACTTGGGGCAAATGGGACACTGCTGGATATTAACAGGGTCCCTTTTCAGGCCTAATAAATAATGAGGTATGGGTGCAAAGACATGCATACTCACCGATACCTAATATGTTTTTAGGCAAGATTGGAGGAATTTCCAATAATGATATCAGTATTGGAAAAGTTTGATCTACTAGCAACATCAAATGCAGAATTTCCACTGTGTGATAACGGAAAATAATATATATTTTTACTGATTCTGAAGTGAAATTTCTTCACTAGTCCTGGTTTAATATTGTAATAACCATGTCAAAACAGTCCCCTATGGCATGTAAGGGTAAGTTTTTGTTCACTGGCTTTGTTGTGTTTATACAGTAACATTTAAATAATAATAACATTTCAGAAAATTTGTGTAAAAAAGAACCATCTCATGATCAGCCTGTAATGTACAGCACTTCCTATGATTAACATCACTTTCTCACTCCAAACATGCTCCAAGAGTGGTTTTGAATTTCTTCTCAATAAGATCTTGATTTGATTTCTGTCAGAGAACTAACAAACCCAACGGGCGTGGAGAACTCGCTGCAGGGTTTAACGTAACTGCTCTGAACCAAGGAGGTGTGAAAAATACTCAACAGTAAATTCTTGATAAAGTTTAAGCTATAAAAAGCTAAAAGGCCCAGTGGGACATACTGAAAGTGTGCCATGCTGGCAGAGATCATTCCGTTCACACAGTGACAGCAAATATATCCACAGTGAGCTAACACAGCAGAAGATCAGCACAGTCTGGTTTGGATTGGTGTCACTGAAAAGTAACAAAGTCCTGGTAAAACAACTGTCAACTGCCTCGACTCAAGCACAGACGAAAACACCGCAGACACACTGTGCAGATGACAGACACGTGTACACTCCAATAACACTTCCAGCTAAAAAGGAAATCATTAATCAGATAGCATGAAATCTGAAGGAATAAATAATTATTCTCTTAAAGGTCCAGTGAGAAACTTTTAGGAGTAGTTATTGTCAGAAATGTAATATAATATCCATAGGCATGTTTCTCCTACATGCTTAGAAAACTGAACTGTATTGAAATGGTTGCAATCTGTAACTTCGCCACTAGATACCACTGAAACTACTGGAAGTTCAATCAGGAAGACTATCTTCATGCTTACTCTTGTATTTATTCTCTGACCAACTATTTTTTAATCAACATCGGATGATCAAACCCAATAAGAGATATCTTTTTTACTTTTGAGCCACTGTAAACTGTATGTCACACAGTGTTTTCTAGACAGTAAGAGTCCAGCAGTTAGCTGGCGCAGGCCGCAGATATCACCCTTCTGAATAATGGGCTGCTGAAAACATTAAAGAGAACCAACACTTCACCCTCTGTGGCCACTGAAGAGCAGCATTACCTCACAGTCCTGTGATAAACGCATCTGTTACAAGCAAGTAGCCCCACCAAGCTGCGACAGCCTTCATGCATCTCACCCCCCAACCTTTTTCCTATCTTATCTGTTGTGTTAAAAGCTCAGATGAAAGAGAGGGGGTGATGGAGAGAGACTTTGATAGAGAGTGGGAGAGATGGAAACAGAGAGGATTTTCCTGGCTGCGTGTCACCAAAAATAGGAAAATTGGCTTCCCCTGGGTCAGTGATGTCACCGCAGACCATGTGGTGCTAAAGAAAAAAGAAATCACATACTGGAGCTTTATGTGTGTGTCTGTAAGAGGAAAATTGAAGCACAATGAAGTATTTATGGAAAATAAGTCAGAGAACCAAAGAGCTGAGCCTTCTAAAGTGCTTTTAAATTGTGCCCTTCAACCCTTGCGTCACTAGACCAATAGTCAAAACACGTATTTATACAATTCAGAAAACTGTTTTTCCTGGAGAAGTGGTAGCGCAGGCACTCCACCAAAACCTTCTTGCCGTGTCAGTGGAACTCAGAGCACAGGAACAAACTCTAATTCCTCTGACAATGTTATTTATGCCTGGTCAACCAGAATTAACATTTCTGACATGCCTCTGCAGGTTTCATTTCTCCCTGCCTCCCAGGCCGGGATCACTGGCTGACCTTGGAGCTAGCAGAGCGAAACACTTGCAGTCTTCAACCTTGTTACGATGTACCCACATAGATGGGATCGATCTGCGTGTCTTGGACTATTGCACTGTGCTGGAACTCAGTATTCTCCTGCTTTTCTCTGCCTGCTGCAACCAAAGAGACAGACTGATCCGCTAGAGAGGAATTAGACACGTTAGCTCTCCACTAACAGGATAAAACCACCTTTTGTTGTTGGGCTCAGCCGGCTAACAGCCATCCCAGACCACCGACAGTAATAACATCGGCATGAGGAGAATCTGTCCAGCCAAGGCCTTTTTGACCTGGACGGCCTGCCTGGCCTATTGTTTGAGCTCTGCATAGTTCAGTATCAGCACTCTGTGTCTACTGACAGTCTAGAGCTGGACATTAACAGTATATTTCTTAATGAGGACTCAACATTGTACAAAGATATTCCATAGTTCCACTGGTACTACTTTCTAATAAGGCAGTCTTTATATCAGGTTTAAAAGAGGTAACACTGTGCTCTACTTACTATAAATGTGCCACACACTGATGCAGTGAGTGCTGACTGAGTGAAGATATACTGAATTGTATGTGGGTTCGAACTAATTGTCCTGGATTGATGTGTTGAAGATGACAAAGCTTTATAGTGTGCAACTGGAGTACGTCCTCATGTGTTTCCCTCCTGCTACAGGTTAGCCACTGTTGGGTGAATCCATCATTTATTTATTGATCCATTCAGTCATCCCTTCATTTATTAATTGATTCATTTATTCTATTATTCCTTCCTTTTCCACCAGTAATCCAAAATTGCATCATAGATTTTCCTCTTTGTTTGAGAATCATGAAACATGTACAAGTGCAAATCCTATTAGGTTGCTTCACACTTGATCTCCTGCGGTGTTTCAGAGCTGGTAAACAGACTTGCATCACTTTGTTTGGTTGTAGGAGCTCATACAGAGTGAAAATAGCCAGCAGCATTAATCTCAGCTTGTGTACTGATATGGGAGTGTGTCTGATAGGATTAGACAAAAAACTCCCTGCCTCCTTATATGTATGGGAGAGTTGAATGCAGGATACAGTCTACTTCTTACTAAGTCTGTTTAATGAATTCGCCCAATGTAGGTGTGTGCATTATCTGCCTATGGATTTAATCTCGATCCATTATGTTGAAGGTGAATTATTTATACCTATGGCAGGCATCTGCAATTCAACCACATCTGCTAGAAAGTTTTTATGAAACTAGAGTAATCTGAAATTAGCAAGTGATGTTGACTGGCAATGTTTAGTTCCAGTTAAGAATTCAGGAAAAGGTTCATACAGTGCAAAAGCCATACTTGCTATACTTGTAACCAATATTGAGATTTGAAAGGATCATATCATACATTTCAGCACCTTAACCACAAATCATATATCATTTTTTTCCCCAAACAATGACAAATACATGCTGGATGAATACATTTTGGATCTACAGTTCCCAGCAGCCATTAGTATGAAAATCAATTAGCAACCTCTTGAAACCTGAGCTGTGCAATTTTCAGTGCGCAATGAAGTTGCCAGTATGTGCTTTATCAGAAGTGCTTGTCTGGTGGATTAACAGCTTCAGAAATCTCTTTTCCCCATACTTTTGCCATGGTGGAATAGGGGGGTCCCTCTCCAACAATGTCTGTGCAGAAGTGTGAAAGCGCTCCATGTGTACCTTTTGCTTCTGTATGACACCAAGGGGCGTGACAAAGCAATGTTGGTAGTTGACGACCTGTGTTCGTACAGCACAAAATGAAACAGCTGGATTGGTTACAATAGGAGATTATCTACTCCATCAGACACGTGAGACTGACGACTGAAAAATGTGGCTGAAACACCTCCTGTGTGGACACAGCTATTAGCTCAGTAAACAGTTTCCTGATGAGTTTATGGTCTCAATCTCTAGTTTCAGTCTTCTTCCATACAGCATGATGTTCATTTAGTAAATGATGGTCCCATTTAGAGTAAAATAGACCATAAAGCAGGGTATGCTTTGGGGCGTGGCTACCTTGTGATTGACAGGTTATTCTCAGTAAATCCGTCCAGCTCAACGCACCAACCTCAGATCAAACTGTCAAACTAAGTAATGCTGATCAGATATGAATCCAGATTCTGATACTGTATTGCCTGTTTCTCACCTTAAATCGTTTCAGAAACACCAGGTTGTTGTGTGTGACTGACGAGTCAAAATTGCGCAGCTAATGAGAGCAGCTCAACACGCAGCCGCTGAAAAAAAAAAAAAAAAAGAGTAATGCAACGACCATAATGCCAAACTCAAGGCTTCAAGACGGTACTCCACGTATGGCCG